GAAGGGAAGGAATTAAAGCGCTAAGGAAATAGTTAAGAAATGAAAGCGCCTCCCCTTCGCAGGGGTTCTGCATTCATCATCCTCGTTATTTGACCTTTGCCTTCAGGAAGGTTGACACATGCAACCTGAAGCTGACCAGACTCCTTGTCACCGGAGACCACAGGGAATCTGCCTCTCCCCTGGTTTTCCTCTGGAGTGATTCTCCTTTCCCGGTGACAGCCAGAAGATGGCGCCTCTGTTTCATACTTAGACTTTAAGCAGCCTTGACTGCATCTCCTGGTGTGCCCTGTATTTGTGGTCGTCTCCAAGGCAAGACTATTTGCAGCCATTCATTCTCAGGCTACAACATTCCGTGATCTAAACAGCAGGTTCTGACAGCTTAGTGGGGGATGGCGGGGGAGTGTTCATACCCCCCCAGATAGCTTTACCTCACGCTCTGCATTGATTTCTTCTGCCCCCTCAAACACATGCTGTTAGTTCTGGCCCCATGGCAACCCCGTGGACAATGAGGTCAATCGTTGCCATCCATTGGGTTTTCAGAGGTGACTTTGAGAAGTCGATGGGCAGGCCCTTCTTCCTAGATTGTCTCCGTCCAGAGCCTCCACGGAACCCTGTCTAGAGAGACAAGTTATGGGTGCACGAGTACGTTGACTGAGAGTCAAGCCCGGATCTCCCACGGATAAGGCAAGGCAAGACGTAGACATCCAAAACTAAACCCACTGCCAAATCAGAGTCACCCCACGTGTTGCAAAGTAGAATTGCCCATGTGGTTTCCTTGGCTGCGATCTTTATGGAAGCAGGTTGCCAGATCTTCCATTAGCACCTCAGTCTGTAGGTTAGTAGAAGGACTACAAACCATTTGTGCCACCCAGGGGCCTAGTATGTTGTTGTTGTGTACTGTCAGGTTGATTCAGAATCATAGTGTCCTTATAGGAATGAGTGAAACTGCCCCATAGGGTCTCCTAGGCTGGAACTTTTGTGGGAGTAGATTGTCCGGGCTTCACCTCCTCGGAGCTGTTGGTGGGTCCAAACCACTGGCCTTTTGTTTAGTAAACAAACACTTCACCTTTGAACCACCCAGGCTCCTTGGGACCTAATCAAGTACTACGATATATACCGCGCCCTGTTCAAAGCACTTTCCATGTATTCCTTTATTTTATGTTTTAATCAGTGAGAGAACTATTATCGCCCCCTATTTTACAGGGTGAGAAACAGAGGCACAGAGAAATCCCATGTGATCGCATTGGGTTTCTTCACTCTTTCAGAGTGGAGTCCCATTGTAAGACAGAAGTCCCTTGGGACGGCAGTGTGTCAAGTCATGTGACTTGATCAAGAGGTGTTGTTAGCCCCTGGCTGGTTGTCGAGGGCACTGCCTTAGGACAGGAGAGCCAGGAACAGTGACAGTTGTGGGGGGCAGAAAGAAGGACTGTGACTGTGGTCGGCTTGTCTAGAGCAGAGAGAAAGCTGATTATGAGATGCAAGAAGGTTGGGCTGTGAAGTAGAACAGGAAGGTTGAAGATGCCAGTGAGGGAGAGATCGCCAAGGAAGAGAAGGGGATCAAGGACGATCAAGGTGCTTATTTCTTTTGGGGCCAAGAACAGATTGCTCCTAAATAATCCCCAGTCCTTAACGTAAACCCTCATTTGTGATTTTCTTGAAGGACCCCCAAACTACGGAGTATTTAGTAAGTGATTTTTACCACCACTGAAAAGCATGACCAGATGTATTGCTCCCTCTTATAAGCTTCCTTTAAATACGTTATGCTTGCATGTAGTTATAGACAGCATCCCATGGAGTTGACTCTTTTTGTCACTATCTCTAAACATTGGAAGTCTTTGGTTGGAACCTCCTGGCTAGCTGCTAAGTACTCAACTCACTGCCATTGACTCAATGCCAGCCTAGAGGTGGCCCTAAAGGACAGGGCAGAACTGCCCTGTGAGTTTACACATGTGATGAAAGATGAACGCCCCCTCTTTCTCCTGCAGATCAGCTGGTGGTTTTGACCTGCTGACCATGCAGTTAACAGCCCAACTTGTAGCCACTATGCCACCAGGGCTTCTTGGATGCCCAGTAGGAAGCCCTCAATGTAGAATCTGAGACTTGCGGGCAGTGCTTGCAGGCAACAGCATAACCATTGGTCCATTAAGAAGCCACACATAGGGCTTCTGCTTATTCTCATGGACGGACGAGTGAGCTTTCCTCTTTCTCCACACCCCTTCTGGAAGCCAGTGCAGAACACATCGTCATGCTAAGAACATGGACACTAACACCAAAACACGTTTAGAAGAACTCATCAAGTATCATAGTGATTTGGGAGGAGGCACGTGCTTCTTAGACAGGCCATGGAAACCATATAAAAAGAAAATTTGATAAATTAGATTTCATCGAAAGGGAAGACTTCAGCTCATCAAAACGTACTGTGAAGGAAAGGAGCAAGGGAGGAACTGTTCACAAAGCACTTCCGGCAAAACGCCAACATCCAGGATCTATAAATAGCTTCTGTAATTCAACAATGAAAAATGACAGATACCCAAAGAGAAATGGGGCAGAAGAATTAAACGGGTATCTCCCAGCAGGAAAGATACATGTGGCCAAGAAGCACAAGACAAAATGCTCAACATCATTAGTCAACAGCAAACCCCCCAAAAAATGCCATTTAAAAACTGTGTGGTGCCTCTACGCTACGCACCCGCCAGAAGGACTGAAATGAGAGAGGCTCAGGTCCAAATCCTGGAAAGGCGATGGAGCAAGCAGGGTGCTCGGATTTTGTTGGTGGACGCATGACATGGTACAAGTGCTTTGGGAAAGGTTTGGCAGTTCCTTGTGAAACGTGGCGTGAGCCCACCCGTGATCATGCGGCTTCCCTCCTTGGTCTTAGCTCAGGAGAAATGAAAGCACGTCCATCTAGAAAAGACTCGTAAATGAATGCACATAACAGCTTCGAGTATCATGTCTAAAATCTGGAAACAGCTAGAATAATCATCATTGGGAAAATGGGTTTTTTCAAAAACCTTCAGTATATTCATATCACAGAATATGACTCAATTAAGCTCGTGCTTAAGGAGCTCAAACTTAAGGAGCTATGGTGGCTGTGTATTAGCCTGTTAATCTCAAGGTTGGATGTTCAAACCCACCAGCTGCTCCTCAGGAGAAACATGAGACTGTCTGTCCTTTAAAGATTTACAGCCTTGGTTGCTTTGGATCAGAATGGACTCCAGGCAGTGGGCTTGGGGTTTTGCTTTACTCAGTAATAAAAAGCAGTGACGCACTGTTCCATGCAACGGCGCAGGTGCATTTCAGAAGCAGGGCGCTTCATGAATGAGCTTCGCACACAAGAATATGTATTGGTTAGCTTACATGACTTTCTAAAAGAGGCAAATCTGTGGTGAACAAAATCACAGTAGTGGTTGCTTCTAGAAGGATTGGGGCAAGACTTGCCGAGAGGGGGCATGTGGGCAGTTTCCGGAGTGCCAGCAATGTACCATGTCTGTGTAACTGGGTTTCACAGATGTATGCATCTGTCAAAACTCAGCAGAAGCACACAAAGACTTGTGCATTTCACCCAACTTTATGTCAAAAGAAAACCAAACCGAAGACAAGTGCCGAGCCCTTGTTAAGGATACCTACAGAAGTGTTTAGGGGATAAACACAGATGTTTGTGGTTGGAATTTGTCAAAGATAGAAGCTGGGTTAATGGGAGGACCAAGACCTTGATGTGGTCAACAATGACAGTGCAGTGTGAACGGTAGGGTGTGGATATACCTCCTGTAAATGATTCCCATGTTTTCTATCAGCTTGAAATGTTTCATAATAAAAAATAAAGAGCCCGCCAGTGTCAGGCTCAATCTTAGTTTGAAGGCTTCCTGGTGACGGGGTTGCTATTCAACTGTAAGAGTTCTGCTGACAGAACAAAAAACCTTACCATAGTGAATGATGGGGGGAGTGCGGAGTGGAGAACCAAAGCTCATCAGTAGGCCACTGGAGATCCCCTTGCAGAGGGGTCTGGGGGAGGAGATGAGCCAGTCAGCGTGCGATGTAACAATGATGAGAAATACAACTTTCCTCTAGTTCCTAAATGTTTCCTCCCCGCTCCCACTACCATGACTCGAATTCGATCTTGCAAGTGTGGCTAGACCAGAGGATGTACACTGGTACAGATAGGAACTGAAAATACAGGGAATCCAGGACGGATGAGCCCTATAGGACCAGTGGTGTGAGTGGCAAAACAAGGAGGGTAAAGGGAGAATGGGTAGGAAAGAGGGAACCGATTACATGGAACTGTGTGTGACCTCCTCCCTGGGGGACAGACAACCGAACAGTGGGTGAAGGGAGACGTCGGACAGGGCAAGATATGACAAAATACCCATTTATAAACTATCAAGGGCTCATGAGGGAGGGGGGAGCGGGGAGGGAGGGGAAAATGAGGACCTGATGTCGGGGGTTTAAGTGGAGAGAAAATGTTTTGAGAAACGATGTACAAATGCGCTTTACACAATTGATGTGTGTATGGATTGGGATAACAGTTGTATGAGCCCCTAATAAAATGTTAAAAAACAAAAAAGAGTTCTGCTGATAGGGGGTTTCATGGCTCAGTGGGATATGCGTTAGGCTGCTCACCTCAAGGTAAGCCATTTGAAGCCCCTAGCTTCCCCAAGGGACAAGGACGAGGCTGTCTGCACCCATCAAGAGCCTGGAACTCCTCGGGGCAGCTCTAGTCCTTCCTAGTTGACTCAATGGCAGTGAGTGAATTGAGACATTATATCTGTTTGATACTTGGACAAACCAATCTTTTCTTCCAACCCAGAAACCCCGGAAAAGACAGCCCGCTAACAAAATAGAGACCAGCCTTCGAGGAGAGGGGCCTGAGGTGTACATGGTTGCATTTTCAGAGGCTCCTGCTTTGAAGGGCATAGTTTGTTATGTGAACAGAAATGTGTCGTGGCCGTTTCTAAACTCTGCCTTCTGTTCTGTCTTCCCTGGACACGCCCTGCTGGGTGTAGGAATCTCCCTGCCATCCTGGACTGGGTGAAAACGCAAAAGCCTGGAGCCATGGGTGTCAACATCATCACCTCGGACTTTGTGGACCTGGTGGACTTTGCCACAACCGTCATTGAGCTGAATGACCTCCTGCAGGAGGACAGAGCTCTGGCTAAATGCTGACCGAAATGTTCGCTTTACTTAAGGTTGAATTCGTTGATCCAGGGTAGGCTGGTGAAGGGTTCCCTGTTCGGATGCCACCGGGCAGGATGAAGAGAAGAGGGCACCTTTTCTTTTCTTTCCTCAAAGGGCCATGGGAGCAGAATTTCAGGGTTTGTCACTGCATTTTTCCCAAATGCGACTTTAACCAAAAAAACCATTTAAGTCCAAGGGAAGAAAGCATGTTTCGTGTGCTCAAGGTCAGGATCACCCCAATGACTGATGGTGGTCAATGGAATATGGAAATAGGGTCTCCAAGTTCCACGGGGGTCCTGAGGGTCCCCTATGTGACCTCTTTCCCCCCACTGTTTTCCAGGACGTTCTGTGAGCCAGTGAGAGAGCTGATAACAGAAAGGTGTTCCTAGCCCAAAGCACGGCTCTTTGTAGGTGTGGGCCCTGGGCCACCCTGTGAGTGGGCTCCAGCACCCACCTGGACTTCTATTGTGAGGAAGAGGTTCCGTGCCGGTTCTCGTTAGCGATGTTGAATGTTCCCACTTGTTCCCTGAACTGGGCATGACTGACTGAACAGCAGGTTGTGTCTGCCACAGCTCTTTGGGCATCGTTTGTGCTGGCAGCTGGTCACCCAATTTCTTCAGATTGGAAGCAGCCATGCTCACTGGCCTCTGTGTCAGCAGTGGGCTTCCCCATTGTAAACCCGTGGTTATTTGACATTTCTTGTGGCCCATTGTTAACAGTGAAAGGAGCAGGCCTGAGAGATGTGTTGCATTGTGGGCTCAGCAGAAGATGGGCATGCCTGCCTGTTGCTGGCCGGAGTTCCTTGACTTTCATTCTGCAGATTTTCCCAAACTAGCTGCCAGGCAAGCACCTGAATCCTTTTGGCAGCATCCTCACTGGAGTGGCATCTTCAAGCCAGACCGTCCAGTTTTCGTGATGTTTACCTAGGACCCGAGTCTGCGCTGCGGGCACTACGAGGAGTGGAAGGCGCTTTGTCCCTGACCTCCCGGAGGCGGACGCAGGCTACGCCCAGGAGTGCAGCGGAAGTCAAGGAGGCAGCTCCGCGTGGGATTGGAGCCGCCCAGCAGCTCCCGGAAAAGCAGACTACCTCGGGACCCTTTAGGATGACGCCTGGTCATCCGGGGAAGCACTCCGCCATGGAACACTTCCCGTTCCTGCCTGGATGATTCAGCGCCCACAATCACCCATGCCTGAGGGGATTTGGGTTTTGTTATTTTATTGTTGATAAGATGTGCTGATCTAGGAAGAGGCCTCTGGTGTCTGCCTGCCTGCCTGCCTTTATTTATTTATCCCCGTATTTATTTATTTATTTATCTATTTATTTGTAGCGTGAGTGGCTGCAGGGCTTCTTAGCCCAGGAGCACCCACAAAGACACACGTGTCTCACCCAAGGCAGGCTGTGCCGTGGTCTTCCTCTCATCAGCAGGACTTCACAACTCAGGACAATACTGGACCTCTTGACTTCTCCCATGCCCCTCCCCCCACCCCCCAATCCTGCTGGGCAGAGAGGGCCTGTGTGCACGTGGTCCAGCTCCAATAAGCTAGTCCCCACTCCACACACTGGGACCAGATGAAACGAAACGGGTCCGTGAAGAACGCGTAGTTGTCGAGGCAGCCCCGCAGGTTGACGAAGGAAGGAGCGAGACAGAAAAGAAGGCGTGCAGTGGGTGTGTCCTTTGATGCTAGGACCCCTGAGAATCCCTGGGGAAGTCTCAGCTTCCCGATCTCTCAGGAGGAAGGATCAACCCAGGATCCCACGTGGATATGTGCTTCCATTTCCTCGCCTTTGATGCTCACCTGGATTTTGCATGATACCTGTAATGGGGGCATCCTACCTAAGGGTACCCACAAGCACACACCCCCAACTCGCGGTCTTCCAACGTTTCGGTCAAGTCAGTTAAGCCCGGACCGGTAGCTCCCTCCCACTGCTTGAGAAGTTAACATCACAAATGCCTCTGGGAAGTTCTGACTTAGCTTCCCCTTGTCTTGCATTTGGAGGGAGACCTGAGGGCATAGTGGTTGGGCTGCTGACTTTACTACGGTCAGCAGCCCAAAACCACAGCCGCTCTTCCAGAGAAAGACGGGCCTTCTACTCCCTAAACAGTGACAGTCTCAGAAACCCGCAGGAGCTAGTTCTACCTTGTCCTACGGGGTTGGTAAGAGTCGGCATCGACTCAGTGGCAGTGAGCTTGGTTTCTGGGGTTTGGTCTTGAATTGGAATCCCTCCTTGAAGAGAGTCCCGAAGGAGAGTTGTCAACCTCCAGAGGGTCACCCTTCCCCGGGAAGAGGGCAAAGGTGAGTTCCTTCCATCTGATATCAAACCACAGTGATGAGTGCTAAAACCCCTGGCCTTCTCTTGGGGCTTTATTTTCTTATTGTTTTACTATGTTTGTTTTTAATGCTGGATCCATTGCTAAGGATTGGGTCCTTTCCTCTCCTTTAACCCCGCATAACTTGGCAAAGAGCTAAGGAGGCAAGAGGAGAACCATTCTGCTCTGTTTTATTGGCGCCTCAGCTTTGTCCAGGTGCTTGGTGCTATGAGGCCAGGAGTGGGGACAGTTCGGTCTGTGCAGGATGCTCGTGGCACTCAGGGGCTGCTGACGATTTAGTGAAATGTTTACTTGATTTTCTTTTTTAGCTTTTATACACACACACACTCATCTTGGGGTGTGATGTTGAACGGAGTGCATCTCCGCGGTTGCATGATAAGGGGAAAGCATCTGTGTGGCGCAGAAGCACAGATACGGGACCAGGACTTCAGGGAAGAGTCCTGCTCTGGGTGCTGAGTGCAGGTGCCCCCTTCGCCCTGCGGCTCTGGGTCGCTGGCCTGGCTCACATCCTGGGAGGGGGCAGGAAGGACATGTATAATTCCCAGATAAGCACCCTGTAGCTGACTGCGTCTCTGCTGGGGAACAAAGTGCTAACGGTCTGTGCAGACCGTGGGCGCTCTGTTCCTTGACGCTGAGGCCGGGCAGGGGCCCTCAGGTAGGCACCTAGGAAGGACACCCAGAGAAGAAACTTGATCTCTGTGACCCATTTTAGGAACTGCCAACAGCGAAAATGGTGACTCGCCAACATCATTGATTTCCACAAATCGGGGGATTGTCGCAGGGGTGGGGGTGGGGGTGTGTGATGATTTCAGGTCACAACAACTCACACTTGCTCAGAATTAATTTCAAGATCAGTCTAAAGAAAAACTATGTGACTGAGCCAAAGAGAACTTCCTTTGCACAGGATTTGGGGTGATGTTTACTTGGAAATAAAGTCTGAATTTTTTGGTAAGCTACCTGGACCATTCCTCACTCACGTGGCCACGTTGCTAGGGCTTTATGGCCAAGATGACCACCACAGATTACTGTTAACTTAGGACATGCTTCACGATGGAACTTCGAACAGGTGCCACTGTGGTTTGATGGATACAGATTCTTCAGATAGGCGAGAGAAGGCAAGATGGAATTGATGGGAGAAAGGAAGTTACTAAAGATTACATTTTAAATTAAAGGTAGATCTTAAGAGAGTCATACAAAATATTCTTATTTTTGTTCTTCCAATAGTTGCTCTATGAAACTCCAGAGGAATGAAACTTAGTCATTTCCCATCAGCCTGGGCCCAGGCCCTAGGATTCTTGAGAACCCTTATACCACAGTCCAAACCCAGGACTTTGTATCAATTCAAACAGAAGCACAAGTTGGGAACCCAGGAAATGGACTCCAGAGACCTCGATCTCCTCCCACCTTCTCATAGTCACAGCAAACAAAAGGTGTTGTTTCTATTCACAAAGACCCAAGTGTGGAGCCTCCTGCAATTAAATGCAGCTCGGTGGGGTGCCAGGATTGTCTTTTCTCTCTGGTTTTCTTAATTTTACACCAGAAAGTGCTACCCAAAGAGACACAAGTCTGACCCCACTAGAAGCTTCCATGCCAAGCAAACGGTGGAGAAAAAGAAGAAAGTAAGATGGCAAGTGAACCTGAGGTTTCCTGGGTTGCCAGAAAGGACTGCATGAAATCAAGTTACCATTGACGTGTTTGTGATCATCTTCCTTATTGCCCGGCTGCAGGTCTGCCCGGTTAGGTTGACAGAATGGGCTATTGGATCTAGAACAAGCCTGAGGCTCTCCCCTGTGGCTAAGTGGTTAAGCCTGTGCTAGATCCCCCTTGGGCCCTTCATCTGTAATAAAGACGTTGATGTCTACTTTTTGCAAACCTCAACTGACTTAAACTATCCGGTCCCCAGTGGTTAGATAAAGGACCCTGGTGGCCCGAGGTTAAGCACTAGGTGGTTGATCCCAGCATGGTCTCCATAGGAGATAAAACCTGGGGATATGTTTCCATAAAGGTATGGCCTTAGGAAGCCCCCTGAGACAGCTCTGCTCTGTTACAAAGGGCCGCTGCGAGTCTGAATCAACTCGACAGTGCACAACAATAACAGGTTAAATGTTTTATGCTCAAGGTGAACAGTTGTAGAATTCTTCCTTCCGTGGTATATGTAGAGAATGCCACTTTGGTTCACCTCCCCCAAAGTGTGTAGCATGACAATTCTTGTCCAAGAGTGCTACATTTCATGACGAGCTCTGTCGTGGGGTGGTCAGGGCTGAAAGAAAGCTGCCAACAGATGTGGGCTTTCCCAAATGCACGTAAATTAACCATGTTCTGCCAAGAGCAAAACCAATGAAGAGCATCGCATCCAAACTAATAGGAAGTCTGCCTTGTGTGACATTTGAAATCATCCCTTAACTTTCCACTAGCTCTCTGCTGTGGCTCAGCTCTTGGCTCACAAGTGCTGCCTTGGGACACAGGCGTGAATGGACTGGCTAATGAGAGATTTAGTTGGCAACGTGACTCTTAGTTCCAAACTAGACCAAACAGCTCACCACTGCCCCCAAGAGAATTGCTATCTCCATGCCCTCTGGATTCAGTGGCACTGCCCACTGGCACCATGCTATCTCTAACGTGGCCCGACAGAAGAACAGACTACAAATGCTGTTGCTTCTTGTTCAAATCACACAGTCGGGGACGCTGTAAGCTGAATCTAAGAGGACTCTTCCTATGTTGTAGATACAGCATTTTCTCCAACACAACTTTTTCTTAGGGCTTTGCAAACTCATGGCTAAGCTCCATGGTTTATAAACTAGAAGCTTCCTTTCCCTTTAAGAATTCACGCCCACAGTCCATTGAGGCAGGCCCGCCAATCATGTGGCGGCATCGCCCTGCCTATTCCCATCGCATCTATGTAGAATGTCGTTTCCTCCTTTTGTTAAGGTGACCAGACGGTCCGCTTTTGGCAGGAGAGTCCCGATTTTTGGCGTTTAAAAAATGTCCTGATCTTTGGAAAGAATGCACGACAAGCTAGGGAACAGTCTATTTGGTCCATATAGACCAAAATTTTAATCAAGAACACCCCCACCCCCCTCCGGTGTATGGTGTCCCGCTTTAAATCTGGTCACCTTACCTTTTGTCCCCTGGCCATTCTTTATCATCTGCTGATTACTATGGATCCCAGGATGCTGGCCAGACTTCCAGTAGAAAGCAATAGGTTCGATGAAGTCCAAGCATACGCTAATTAGTTATTGATCTTTCCTCTTTCCACACGCTTTATTCTGTCACCACTTACCCAGAATTGCCAACTGACTGGAGCCCAGAACTTGGGGCCAATACTTAAACTAAGTAGCAGGGGTTTGCTCACAAGCTTTGAGCCCCGTGAGAAGCACAGCACTTTGAAAAAGTCAAATGGGCCTTTGGTAGCTTTGTACATTTGCAGTTTACATGATTCTAGCACTAATAACACTTCGGCCATGAATCTGTAGGATCAATACGATCAGTCTTAGAATAGACATTAGAAACAGTGGTATCCTACTACTGTAAGTCTAATATCCTATTATACTCACCAATTTATCCTCCAATATCAATAAGTTTTAAATACTAATTATGTGTGCGTTATTGGTACTGTGTATATGCTGACTCTCATATCACTTAGCTTCACTGATCAGCAGTTAGATGGAACATTTGAAACTTGTCACAGTGAAATCAGTCTTGGTTAACTCAAATGATATGTGAATATGATAAATGCGCTATTAAATTCTCTATTTGGTCCTCTTGCTTGTTTTGTATAATAGTGCATGCTATTTGCTAAGATAAATACAAAGTAACGTGAATAAATAACGTCGATTTTGAGGCTAGAATGAAAGGTTTGCCTATATATGCTACTTGATATGCTGAAATGTATAATTCGGCTTACTTTAGTCATATGCACTGCACTCGGCTACCCCACCTGTACACCCCACCCCTAAATAACTGTTCACATCTATACTCTTCTTTGTCCTTGATTAAGTGGCTTCATTCAACCTAGAACATTGTAAAGCCAGAATACCTCCATTTAACTGAAAATTAACACGAGGAGATGATGTTTTTGTGTGTGTTTGAGTGTACCTAAATAGCTTTAAAACCGATAATAAATGCAAAGCTTGGACAAGCACCTTTCCTTGCACTGTATTCTTCGTCTAATTTTGTATTTAAAATTAGCTAGACTCAGAAATGTAATGACTTTTTATAGCAATTTTTATTGTAACGAGTGGGGGGGTTCACTTCAGATCATCAACTTTGTATTCAACAGTTTAAACTGCTAAGCAGACTCCCCGATAGTTTACCCTGCACCCACGCCTTGTTTCCCTTCTCCTTCTTGGATTCCCTGACTTCCAGTTAACACTGGTCCATGGACTGGCGCATGGCTTTAGGTTCCCTCCCTCCATCCTCCCACCCCCCCTCTTAACAATCTCCAAAGTCTGTTATGTTTGGTCGGAAAACCTTTATCCTGTATTTTTTTCCTTTATAACTAGTTTCATGGACTATGTGTACCTTTGTGATTGGCTATTTTCACTCAGCATCATGTTCTCTAGAACCACCCGTGCCACCAGGGGCTTCGTGGTGTAGACGTTGTTTCTTAGCGATGCATTTTTAGTATTGCATTGTGTGTGTGTACCAGAGTGTCTGTATCCGTTCTTCCTTGGGCATGTAGATTGTTTCCACCTTCTCACGATTGTGGGCAGAGTCACAGTGGACGTGGGTGTGCATATGACTGTTCATGTTATGATTCTTCTCTCGTATCGGTGCCCAGCAGAGGGGTGCTGGGCCGCATGGAATTCC